CCCTTTTGTCTGGAGGTTTTTGGTGGTATCCCTGATTCCTTGGAATCTTGGGCTGAAGCTGCCTGCGACTAATCCTCTCATGTTCTAGTTTCCCATTTGTTCCAACTTTGCCCTTCCACCTCTGTCACTCACCCTGGCCCTTTTCCAGCTCTGCATTCTTTTCAGGTATCCAGACCATCCACCTTTTCCTGCTCCACCTCTATCCAATGTCTCAGTGACTGATGGCCATCTGATCAGTTTAGGACCTGTGGGAGCCTGTCTGTCTCAATTTGCTTGCCTATGGTCACATTTCTCAGCCAATCATGAATTGTTGCGGTTCTTTCCTCTGGTCTTTCTCTTTTCTTCCCTCCCTATCTTTTGCCCAATCTGTCTTCTTTTGCCACCTGTCTAATCCCACTTACCTTCATCACCTTGAGAGGGCAGTGTTGGATTTGTCGAAGAAACCATCAAGAGGGTTCATGACCTCTCTTCAGGTTGTTACTCCTGCCTTTTTTTTGTCCACAAAAAAGACTGGGGACTAGCATCCAATTATTAGCTTTTCTTTCCTCAGTCATTTATTGATCATCCCACATATTCAGATAGAGAATTTTCTCTCTCTCTCTGTTGGTCATTCCAACTCAGCCTGTGGATGACCAAGTTTGAGTATCAGATGCCGTTCTCAACATCCCAATTACCCTGTCCTTACAATTTTTCCTTGATTTGTCCAAAGGGATTGCATTTTCCAATTCCATGCTCTCCCATTTGGTATAGTGTTGGCCCTCTATGTTTTCCATGACATTATGTGGGTCTTTACTCAACATCTTTAAGGTCTATATTTGAGATTTCTTTTCTGTATGTATAACTGGCTTGTCTTTGCCAGTTCCAAGGCAGAATCCTCTGAACACACTTTTCTTCTTCTTAATAATACTACTTGTTTGGGATGGCTTGCAAAAACTTCCAAATCCTTCTTTACTCCTACCCAGTGTCTCATCCACCAGGGTATTCTCTTCAACTCTCACCTTAGCTGTGCCCAACCTTCACCAATTCCCTACGGGACCTTAAGCATTGGTTGCCACATTTTGTATGACAGGTTCTGTATATTAGGGACCATGGTTTTTCTGAAACCTCATTACACTTGGTTGCACACATGTGTACTGTACAACGAGGGAGGTTGTGCGACCAGTAGAACCTCTCTGGGGATCCATCGTCCTCCCAGATCCACCTCTCCCTTCTCTTCTGGAGGATCTTGCTTGGTGGATGGACCACTCTAATACCATCTCCAGCATTCCCTTACTTCTCACAGACACTTCTCTCTCTCAGGGTCGGGAATGTCACTGAATGACAGCCTGACTTTGGGCTCTAGGTTCCTGTTGGAATGTTTTTTACATATCAACACCTTTGAACTTCATTGTTGTCCTTCAGGCATACTCTCATTTAGTAATGATCCATTCAAACCACATACTTGTCGAGTGCAGTACAGGAGACCCTTGTCACTTAATAGTTCCTAGCTTCTGGGGTGTTGGACCATGGAGAATCCTCATCGATTGAGATCTAACTACTTGGACTAGAACAAGGAGGCTCTCTGATGAGAAATAGAACTTGGGTGTCACTGTAGAGTAGTGAGGGTCACCCCACATGTATAACTATGATACATCACAATCTTCATATGGGCCAATGATACAGCTCACTTACTAATATTTTCTATACATTTATCTTACAAGTTCTCCTGCAGCCCAGAGTCTGCTCAATAGAAATGAGGTGAACACACTATTACCAATCCATTCTACATTGTACTGAAAAGAAAGACATATTCTATTCCCATAGCTGGCACAAGGCCCACAGAAACTGACAGTCAAGTGGGGGTGTATATATATCTATAGTGTATCAACATAATATGGTGCCTTCCTCCTGCAGCTGGATGAGCCCCAGAGAGACTGACGGTAGAATTGGGGTGAACATACTGTCTGTAACACTGATTTATTACAACACATACCCTATTTCCACAGTAGACAAGGGTCCTATAGTGACTAATTGTCGAATAGAGGTTTATATAAGTATCCATGCAGAAAGGAATCCATAAAGTGCCCTTTTCCTACAGCTGGGTTTGATCCCTGAAGTCTGATGGTGGAGGAAGTAAGAACACAAGGTATGGTCTGAACAAGTTCTAACCACACTACACATATTGGCTGGTCGACAACTTATGTGTGAGTACTTAGACAGCCATATACCTATTCCACCCATCCTTGCAACACAATTATGGCTTCTTTGCCACTTCCATACTCCTATATGAACAAAGAGTATACACTAGATGTGGTCTCCCATGGGTGTGCCTGTATGGAGTCCTTGCCATCAGGTGTCACATCCCATGGTTTTCTTGAGTAACTTTTGAAGGAAGCTCATTAAGGTAATCTTTGCACCAGTCCCTACACCATTTCAATGTGGGATTCTAGCTATTCTGTGTGTGGAGTTGAGTACTCACTGCAAAAGTTAACATTTTCCTCACCTGAAAATGTATTTCTGGTAGATACTCACCTTCACACATATTCTCATCCATCCTCCCCACTTTTTGGTGCACATTTATTCATTTCTTTGTAGAAGGAGCCATTGCACGCGGAGATGTGTCTCACTGCTATTGGTGAAGGGTTCTGATGTATGATGACATTATCATGCAGTAGCACAAGTTCATGAGATTTCTCATGATCTTAGGTAGGAGTTTTTACAAGGCTGGTGGCTTGCAAATCTCTTTGGCAGAATGTGCAAAATCATGATAAAGAAGGCTATTTTGTGTGAAGAGGTGAGTATCTATTGAAAATACACCTTCAGGTAAGGCAAGTGGTAACTTTTTTAGGTACAACAGATTTATAATGATTTTATCTAAAATTTTGTGAAGATATATGTAGTAAAATAAAAATTATAGTAAACGTCATTATGTTTCACAGATATGGAGTCGGTCATTTTGATCGAGCCTGTAAACAGAGAGTTAAGTGACATAGAAGTATATTACTTATTAAAGTTTTTATTCAACTGCTTGATGTATGAAAGTCCATCTTACTTATAAAATTATCTCACATGAATATTTTATCTGCTTTTAGGCCTTAAAGCAGCGTTACGAATGTGGATGCCCATCACTGACTAGAGTGGATCCACGAGCACAGATTGAAAATTTTAAACAGAAACTTGAGGAAGATGCAGCAAAAGCATTAGCACATAAGCAAAAAATGGTTGTGTTGGTACCTAAGTCATCATAAGATGATGTGTCCATTTGCCTTTGAGAAAAAAAAATAGAAATATTTTTACTAACTTGTTTGTTACAAGGACATTAGTGTTCATTTTGACTTCTTGTTATAGCTAAGTACTATTACAGAATTTAAGAGCTTCAAGTTGTTTGGGAGTTAGTTAATAACATTTTCTTATTAACTCTTACAAAGTAAAATTTTCTTTACACAGAAAACACAGTCTCAAAAAAAAGTATTTCCCATATTTGAAGTAAATGATTCAAAATACTCATCATGTCATGTCTTTAAATGGTAACTAAAAAACATGGTTACTTAGGATTAAGAACTTTGTAAAAAAACAAAGGTTAGTGTTTTTTTAATATTTTAAAAATGAAAGTGACTGACAAAGTAGGTGAAGTGCTTGAATTTCATAAGAAAAACAATAATATATTTAATTGGCATTGAGTATGATATAAAAACATTTTGCCACAAAATAAAAGGTTCTATTATGTTTTGTAAATCATACTTTTGGCAGCAATATGGAAATTTAATTTTTCTTTTATATGAAATTTACATACTCATTAATTGTGATATTAGGTATTGCTATTTAATATTTTTTAATAAATTATTGAAAACTACTGTTTCTGTAAACATAGTTCTACTCCTCACAAATATAGTTCTGCTCCTCACAAAATGTGACCTTGATTCTTTCCTGTTGTCTCTTTGTGAAAGTGTGGGTATGTTTTCTGTGATCTGTACACCACTCTTGTTGGAGTAATTTATATTTTAGTTGAAGGGTTGTCAGTTAGGAGTCTTCCATATGACAAACATTATAAGATCATCTGACTTACTTACAATGTCATTGTGGTTTTTTTTTAATGTGAAAATTTGCTAGTGAATAGGATAAGATGGATAGAATAGAAATTAGTATTTGAATGTGAATATTTTGAAATAACAAATACTGTATTTCGAGATAAAGGTGTTGAAAATAAATGTCACTTTAGGTTTCATGTTGTGTTCCTGTGCATAGTTCATAAGAGAACTACTCAAACTTTTGTTGTGTAGGTTTTGTCATCATCAAATATTTCTAACAGTTATTTACCTCTACAATTGGTATTATGTAACAAAATTACTTTCAAATCTGATAAAAATAAAGACAATATTTATAAATATGTTAGTTTTTTGAATAAATAATTTTTAGGGTAAAATTGTACATAATTACAAATACAAGTATATTATTTTTAAGAAACTACACTTTATTCCTTCATTTAAATGATGTATAGCTGGTGACTGAAGACAAGACTGAAAGAAATGAAGACTTGAAAACTTGAGGAAATGTTTATTCTTGTTATCTTTTGATTTTCTTTAAGAGGTTTTCAGTTGTGTACACAACTTCATTCATTCACAGTCATTCTTAAAAAACAAACATGATGATAGAAGGCCCATCAAGGTCACCCTTTAATTTTTCAGATAACTGCTATTTCAAATTAAATGAATCTTTTCAGACCTGTATCTTTGCCCAATAGATGTTTGAAATAATCTTGTCACCTGATGAACTATTCTGTGTATTTATATCTGAGTAGCAGTTTTACCTAATATCAAGGCTAAATTTAAGTTTCAATTTTTTTTACCACTAATATTTAATTCCCCATTCAAAATATTATCTCATTCTACCATTAAATTAGCTCTTTTATGGCTAGTGTTTTTAAGCCTTAATAAATTGTTTTATATACCTGAATAAATTTTTTGTAGTCTATTTATACTTTATTCTAAACCAAAAATTGTTCTGATTACCTGTTTTTGTATTACTATCACCATATCAGGATCTCAAATTCATGAGATTTTTTATCTTTTCATTTTTTAAAAATCACGACAAAAATGTGTATTTCTGTTAGTAGGGAGATGGGTAGAAAATGTCAGTAAGTAGCTTTAATATCAGGCATGTGAACCAAAACACTCCACAGAGTTTCCTTCATCTTTGATATTACATATCTGGTAAGCAAAAAAGGTTATTTCGAAGGAATAAAAACATTAGTTTTTTTTATGGTTCCTATGGAAAATTTTAAATTATGTTAAAGTCACAGTTACATTTTTCATTCAACTAATACTTAGTAATACCAATATCTATCCAGCTGAATTCAATCAAAACCTCTTATTCTCACATTTTATTCAAAGTACTTCAATTGTTGTTTAATAGAAGCAAAGCTTGTTTTCTCACTTTCTCAGATCTAATTTGCTATCATTTTATCTACCAAAAAGGTGAAAAGCAAGAAATTCCTTCATTATTAATTTAACCTAGTTTAAACAGTTCCTCATAGTCATCAACAGCATTCTTAAATATTACTTAGGAACAAACAGTTCTTCCTTACGTTTAGAATTTTTTCTTTCCTATCAGCTCTGTGTTAACCTCACATAAATTTGATTTTATTTAAGTGACAATATAGGTCCACAGAATAATGAGAGGTTTGAACAAGACATTTTTTACAGAGTTTCTCTGAAACTAACTGAGTTTGTGAAAAGGAAATAAAGGGATTGGACACAATGAACAACTTTTATTTAAAAACACTTTGTATGTACTTTCTTTGAATGCTGGACAGTCGCGTTTAATGTTCTTTCTCCAAGCTTCATTCAATGAATTATTTAACTCAGTAATACCAGACTTATCCATAGCTGCCAACGTGACTAGTCATTATTATTAAAACTAAAGGGAGGTCGTAACCTCAAGTCATTATCTGTCTACCATTGGGGGCGTTGTCTACATTCATGCACAAGGTGCAGCTTTATAACCATACATCACATGAATATACTAAGTATTATCTCAAGAAAATGAAAGCAACTTAAAACTTTGTTGAACACTTCTAGGTTTCACTGCATGTATAAAAAAATGAAAAATTCTATAATAAAGAAGGATGAAAACTTTCACATACAAACGTATCTGTACTAGATACTAATCTTCATGTTCCGCAATAAATCTCTTTCCGAAAGAGCTACTAGACAATTTGCACTGTGTAGTGGGTTTATTTATTTTATTTTCGTTATGATTATTTCAAAACAATTTCTCAAAGACTTGTAGTTATGTAGCGAACTCTTTATTATCAGTGTAGCACTTATATTTATTAAAGATTCATATGACAAAAGGAGTTTTTGATAGACTAAAAGGTGTTAGTTGTTTTTTGATATATTCGAAAAAAATATTATGCAGGAGTAAAAAAACAACAACAAACAATTGCTTCATTCCCATGAAGTGAAATAGTTTACTTGGGAATTTGGAAAGAATAAGTGGATTAAAAAGATCTTGTTTGATATTAATCAACTGTTAATGAACTATAAGTTGTACCATTATTAATTTGTACAGTGGCAAAGCAGCAAGTCTGTAACACTAAAAACCAGGTTTCGATTCTCTTGGTGTGCTCATCACACATAGTCTATTGTGTAATTTTGTTCCTAGCTACAAACAAAACCGTATCACAAATTTTAGTTTCACTTTATAAAAAGAATAGTATGGAAGATATTGATATATTAAAGACATGTTTTATACAACTTAACACAGTTTTCTCTTCTCATTTGTCCCACGGTGGTATGTCTGCGGACTCAAATTGCTAAAAACTGGGTTTCGATAACCGCGATGGGTAGAGCACCGATAACTGCTTGTGTAGCTTTGTGATTAAAAACAACAACAACAAAAAAATTCATTTTAATGAAATAGATAGAATATTTTTTTGATATAAGTTAATAACAGCTATTAGCAAGTATATGACTTAATATCACGTCTTCGTTATGTTTAGGTAAACACAGAGCTACACAATAGGTATCGAAATACGGTCTTTAGCGTTATAAGCCTTCAGATTTACCGTTGAGCCACTGAGGGTCTAATATGTTAATAATATTGGTATGAACATACAAAAATAGCGATTGTTTCATCCAGTTTTTAACTCTATTACATTGTGTGTGTGTGTGTGTGATTGTAGTCGTAACTTATATCTTATACCACTGGATGTGTATGAAATAAAATATTTCCTCATAGCTGTGATTCTCCTTCAAGTTAAATTCAACGGCACGGAAACAGTGTATATTTTGTGTAATTTTTAGATATAAGATATACATAATTTAAAGTTTTAAATAAAAATGAGGAAAATAGTATTTTTCTAATGCTGATGTTTATCTTAATTTCTTTTCATCTTAAGTTCTAAATCTAAAGTATTTGTCTACGTGTAAAATTTCATAAAATATTATCTCAATATTTTTATTTACCTAAATAAATATGGTAAATAAACAATTAATGGGCTAAAAATATTTTTTCACCAATCTCCATTTCTACTTCAAGAGAAGGCGCTTATTGTGACGTATATCATAGAGTTGTGTCTTTACGACGCCTAGTGAGGACGACGTGAACTCGTGTTACATCGTTAGAGAAGAAGAAGTAGTAGTAATAGTAGTACGATGAGGTAAAAGATAAGTGCTGAAAAGAAGTAACATAGGTCTAATGTTGTTAAAACTTAAACCTATACTACTGCCTGGATTCTTAGTTAACTTTGAGTCGTAGTATATTTTTAAGTGGTGTAAAGCATTGGACAATTCAGTCCCACAGTAAAATTTTAAGTGTTAACTAACAAGTCATGATTCATCAGTTCTGAATCTTTGGATGCCCCTAGATCAGTAGATGGAACTTTAACTTTTAAGGAAGACTTTTCACATCCGGGTTGGAACATACAGAGGTCACGTGAGGTCAGTAGGCGTATCATGTCAAACATAAATTGGCGAAGTTTGTAATCGAGTTTTAAGACTTTAGCAAGTTAATATTCAATATTATATTGTGAGGAGATTTCATACAAACTTTTCTATATAGTTAATACTAACAAGTTATTGTTTTACTAAGGATATATTTTCATGGAAAATTTTATTTTAGAGTATCAGCAATATTATAATTATGCACATATAACATAGTGATTACTTACTCGTATTATTAATACTACCCAGTGCTAGCAGTAGCATCAGTAGAAATAGAAAAACACTTATTAAAAGTTGTAACTTTTGTTTCAGAGTTGGGTAAGTGCAACATTCACTGGTTTTACTTTTAATTGCAGTATAGGACATTTCTTAAAAAGAAAGGTATCATGACAATGCAAGTGATTAATTGTTAAATAAGGCTTTGTGTGTGAAAAAAAATGCTATTTACTTATTAGTTTTACTTTTAGTGAAACATATCTGTTAACAAAATATTCTTGAGTGCACAAAAAGTTCTGAATATGTTATAATGGATGTTTTTATTTTACTTGCATTATTTTACGAATAAGACCTACCACAGGATACCCAATTGAAAACTGGTGTAAATTTAACCACTACAAGTTTTATTTATACTTTAGTTTTATTTGTTTCTGTGATATGTATGGATATAAAACTATTAGTAGATTGTGTGCATATGGATAGTAAACTTGTAAGAATACATTATTGTAAGTGGTGTGTGTGTGTATATTGATATGTGTTGGTGTACTTGTATGTGTAATAGTTTATATATCTAGTTCAGAAGTCCATAATGATTGTTCTTGCTTTTATTTTTTAGACAAAATTGTTTCTTACTTATGATTAATTTACATAATGCCTTGTATGAAGAGGATGTGTGAGTTGAAACTGGGCTTTACCAACGTTTTTTTTATGCATTTATCAGTGACTTTGATGTGATAACTGGTATACTATGTATATGTATAATAAAACAAATTTATATCAAAGATCTGTTTGGAGGATCAAGGCATTTCCCAAAAGTTTTAATGAGTGTTTTAGATATGCTATACACATAAAACTTGGAAAGAAAAAAAAACAGGACTAGTCATCACCTGTACCAAATCATATCTGACAAGAAAAACAACTTTGAATTTTCTGACAAAAAATAAATGTATTAATATGCTGGTCAACTAAATTTCATAAATTAGATAGTCACATTTTAACTTGTTTCAGCCTGTGAACCTGTGCTTAACATCAGTACTGAAACAAATTATGTGTGCTTGGTATCCTGGGGGTGTCATGTTTGAAACTGACTTCATTTCTCATTCATAAAGTAGGGACCAAAGATGGCACTCATGCTCATTTACCATGGGAAGGTGTTTTAAGGAGGATTTGTTTTGGGGTATGGACTCCCTTTAGAGTAGATATAGAAGTAATTGGGGATAATGGAGAAGCTTAATTGGTATACTGGGAACCTTTGAACCCTGCTGCTTAGTGCAAGTACTTATACTAGGATGAAAATATAATAATAACATAATATCTGTATTGTTCAGTTGTAATTTTAATCATTTTCTTCATAATATATGATCAAAATGAAGATGTAAGGAATACATTGTCTTTTGGTGTATATGTATAAATCTGTCAATCAACAAAGTACACATGTTTAATTACATAGATTTTTTTCAATTTCCTCTTCTAGGTTTTGGTGTAAAATAATGTATGACAATATTTAATACTTTTATGTTTTATAAGTAACCTGAAGTGTGTATAATGTATCATGAAAACAGAGCAACAACATAAAATTACATACATTACATTGTATACCTGTTTACATTTTAAAAAATAAGTCATAAAAATAAATACCTGTCTCAAGACTAAACATCTGTAAATTACAGACTTCTGATGATTAGAAAACATAAATGTATATAACATCTTAATGTACTTAATTTTCATTTAACCAATCAAGTTCATAACTTAAGATACCTCAGATAATGTTGTTTGTATTTGAAATGTTCTTCCTATTGCTGCACATGCTTACCTCTCTCAATTTTAAGATATTCTTTGAGTTAAAGTTTTTTAAATAGTTGTTTTTGGTTTTTGTAAAATGATGCCCACTAAATTGGGGAAATTAGATGTATTCCAAAAACTTATTACTGGCCTGTCATATACAGTACATGTCAGCATATTATTTATGGGAAAGAATAACAATGTTATTTAAATTTTTTCTATTTATATCATCAAACAATCTATGAACGAAAGTAAAAAAAAAAACCTAATTAAACATGTGAAACCGTAAAGTTGCTTTCATATTGATATGAAAGATCCAATGCACTCAAAGGAACTTCATGGTTTCTCCTTCACATACTTGCATCTCTTGAACATAACTTGTTTTAATAAATGGATGTAAAAAGATAGTGAGTGTGTGTTGCATCACTAGAATAAACAGAAAGAAGTGGTATTGCTGTCACTTAAAACTCCAAGTTCTATCCAGACATTTAACAGACACTGAGTATGTTACAAGAAATGGTGCATACAGGCTTGGCTTAAAAAACAGGGCCAGTATAAACAGAGCTTTCTTGTTTGATTTGAAATCAGTTGAAAATGGGAATTTGTAGTGTTGAACATTTCTTTTTCATTATAATGTGGTTATAAATCTATACTATAAGCCCGTAATTGTGTTATTTTATTCTATATATATATCAAGAAAACACATCTATATGTATTATTTAATACTCTGCAGTTGAAAATTTGAATCAGTTTTCATTTGCACATTTTTGTATTAAGAAAAAACATACTGTTGTAACTTCTGTGTTAGAAACTTTGTTGATTAATATTTTTATTTAAAATAAAATACTATCATTTTTTCTATAGTGTATTTTATTAGATCTTTGCTGTTGGTTTATGTACATTAGAACTTAACCTACATTTCAAGTATGAAAGTTATAAATTTCAAAAAGGCAAATTTATACTTATACTTAGACAAAATTATTTTTCAAAAGATCAGTAAAAAACAAGGTGAGAGAAAGCCATTTGATATACTGAGGTTATCCTCACAACCATAAAATAAAATTCAAATTAAATGAAGCCTTTAATATTGATGTATCTTTTCAAACAAATTTTCAAAAGGTTTCAAACAGCACGTACCATATCATAATGGAAACCATTCCACAAGTTTTTAACATACCAGAAAGTATTATTTTGGAAGAATCAGCTTGCTACATTTTCAACCATTTCATTTTTACATTTTCAACCAACTTTTTCTCATGCATCCTTTTTGATGTCCTAATTTCCTGTTTCACCAACTGTCTCTATCTATTATAATCTTCTAAGTCTCCTGTCATACTGGTCAATTTAAATTTATGATGCTTTTCTTTAATTTCATTTCTTAAACTCTTTGTGAGCCAACCTGTTTTTTTTTTACTTGTAGATACCCTGTACTTTCTATTAGGAATAGGTTTACATTGAATATATAAAAATTTATCTTTAAACATTTTCCATATCTGATAAGTGTTTCCAAATAACTCGGCTGCCCAATTCATAACAGATAACTCTTGTTGCATCCTTTCAAAATTTGCATTTTTGAAATTTGATATACTGAGGTTATCCTCACAACCATAAAATAAAATCCAAATTAAATGAAGCCTTTAATATTGATGTATCTTTTCAAACAAATTTTCAAAAGGTTTCAAACAGCACGTGCCATATCATAATGGAAGCCATTCCACAAGTTTTTAACATACCAGAAAGTATTATTTTGGAAGAATCAGCTTGCGGTGATGTAGACTTCCAAAGCTTCAACATGTTACCTGTGATATTGAAGTTTGTTTTTCCAATGTTATCATTCTGTCACTTATTTATGTCACCAGAAGAAGATATGTCATCCTAATCTCTAGCTATTTTGGATGAATCATGTCATCTCCAGTTCTATCTTACAGAGAAAACAAGTCCAAACCTTTATGCTTTTCCACATAGCTTAAACTTCTTGAACCAAGTGTCATTCTATACAAGTACCCTATCTCTGCATTATTTTTAAAATGTTATATTTTATGTAGCAAGGAAACCAAAATTGTTCACATAACTCCAGGTGAGGCCTTATTTTTAATTCACAATGCTAATAAAGATAACTGGTGTATCTGTTTGCTTTTTTACCACAGCATAGAGCTTTAGGGTTTTATCAAACTTCCTATTTAAATCCTGCTTGTTTTCCACAACACTAGTTGCTCTTTCATGAAGAGTTATCTATATGTGTTTGTGTGTGTGTGTGTATATGTATAATTGTAACAATATAACTAGATGGTCGGAGTAAATATTCTTGAAATAGGTGTTAATTCTAAAAATTGTGTATCAAATAACTTTCTGTGGCAGTTTAACTACATGTGCAATTTTACTTGTTTAATGTAATACAGTAATATCCCATTTAGTGCTCAGGAAGGGATCCTGAGAACAGGGCTCTAAATGAATCAGCTCTAAACAGGGTCATTTTAACATTACGTATATGGAGATATGTAACTGAAGGCATTGTTTCTTACCTGTGAATAATGTATAAGTGCTTTATTTAACATAAATTACTCACTATAATATCATCATCACCGAAAAAAATGTTTTTATTAGCCTTCTATCTTGTTTGGTTACAGAGCCATCAAATAGAAAATCTGACCCCTCCTGCCACACCCACTTGTCACATCATCTCTTTCAGGATTTGTCAATACATATAGTTCTCTCTTACACTTACGACTATATTAGTTATAACCAATAGACAGGCAAGGTTTTTGTCTACCAAATGACATATTATATTACGTTGTTTTCTGTACAGAGATTTGTAGATCTCTTCCTAAGAAAAATTTTTTCAATGGGAACAATATTGTTTATGTGGATGATGTTTTAACAATTCATATTGCATCACTAAAATGCTATTAAATAAAAATTACTTAGTGCACTACTACCATTAGTATGAAAAAGTTATGTTCAGAAAGTTATGGATTTTCATAATTTTTTTTCTCTCTTGTGACTAAAATCTCTCCAGGAGACAACAGTTTTATAATGAATCAGCTTAAAGTGGGGTGGTGCTAAGTGGAGTGTTACTCTATTTTTCTATACAAAAAACATTGCTGGTCTTGCAGGTGGTAGTCTACATATTAAACAAAAGCTATATATATTGGTTTTCAAGGCTTTTCCAGCTTTCAGCTTTTAAAACAACTTTTAGAATCTTGTGCTGTAAATATATATATAGCATTTTAGAGAACTGTCATCTGTCATCATCGGGCCCAGTTGATGAGTTCTTGTTTCTTGTGTTGAATGAAAGGCCTCTTGGGCAGTGACTTGTGGGAGGCTGAGGATAGATCTGAAGCTATTTTTACATACCTCTTATATGGAATCTGAAAACAACAAATTAAGAAGAATGTGGGAAAAAAATTTAGTTAACATGGTTGGGATCACAGAAGCTAGGCCTCAATAGTACAAAGTTGACTTTTGATGAAACAACATTGTTGACTTTTGAAAATTACATTGAAAAGTATGTTACATGTACAAAACTTTTTTTAGCTTGCAACTGTTGCTTCTGAGTTTATAACGTATTTACTGTTACTTGGATGTTAGTGAGTCCAGAACGATTACAGTAATTGTAGTTATCTGGTTCACGGTATCTCTTTTAAAGAAACCATTGTGTTAAAGTTAATTGAACTTTGAAATTCACCTCCATACAATTATCAAGAATAAACCAGTTGAGTTAGAAATTGTTTTTTAGTGATAAATACTAGCCTACATGTACATGTAGGTGTTGAATTTCCTAAGCTAACTTACAGTAGACTTCAGACTTGCATCTACTCTTGTTTCATGTGCATTGGTCTGTTACAAGGTTAGTTAAATCATACTTGTGTGTGTTATGTTTTTAGGGAACTTAACATTCTCCTTTCTTGACTATCATAGGGAAATTGTTCAGCATAGGATTCTTGAAGTAACTTGTTTGGAAGGTATTAAATGTGTGTCTTTCAATAACACACCAAATATTATAGCTACTTTGTGCTTAGTAGTGTTTGTATATTCAGGATATGTATGTGCAGAATCTGACTCACAATGAAATACTTTATAAATGTAATTTGGGAACAATGACCTTCTTCTAAATTGTCAACTTGGAAATATGTTCTAGGTTTGCTTTTTGTCCAATGCTTTTATTGCTCATTTTAAATTTAATAATACATTGTTAAAATATATATATATATATATATATATATTTATATACACACACAAATATGTATATACTAGATGACAGTTGTGTGCTTATTTGTAGCAGTATTGATTTAATTTTGTTGATTAAAATTTTAAAAGGCATTGTTTTGTTTGTCTAGTTAGGTAACATAACTAAATACTTGAAATATACATGTATCATAATGTTTTAAATGGGATACTGTAAAATATTGAAACTTTTTATTATTAACATTCAGATATAAACAAAAAAATCTATAAGCTGTTTGATATTTTGTATAAAAATTGTTAATGTTTTTTTTTTTATCCAGGTAAATACATAGTAACCTGACTTATTAGCCCTTTCAGAAATTTTTATTTTAAGACTAAGAGTACATTCTATCAACAGCTTATTCGTGAGCTAATCAGTGTTTCGGGTCACTGTTCTGAGTGACTAATGTTTTATCATCAACACAAGTTCAGAAATAAGTTTTAAGGTTTAGTATAATATCATTGTGCTCAAATTTATTTTCTTGTGAATGATTTAATTATTACTTTCATTTTATTCCTGCTGGATGAACAATAATTTTTATGATTTAAAATCTGAACTTTTCAGTGCTCAGTTATTTACATCATTTATAGAGGAATTTGACCAACTGTCCAAATGAAGTTTTGACATTATCATGATTTCAGTAGCTAAGTGTAGAATGAATCTTCAGAAAAAGAAAAAATTGATTTTACTGTTTACTTATTGCCTAAAATTATTATATGTAGATAATACTGAAGTTATTGGTCTAATTTTGATTGCTATTATCACCATATCATTAAATGTAACAAATATGTTCATATACCATTATTTTATCTATATGTGTATGATGTATGACTTGATAATTTTTAAAAATCTTATAGTAATTGACTTGTGCAATGTTATTTTATTAAATACACTTTTTATGTCATATGCACATACTTTGTATGTTGCTTCACCTTTCTCTTTTCACACTGTTGTGTACTTTACTTCACAAAATTTATTACCTGTATTAATTCTTGTTTTCTTACATCTACAGCTTGCTTAAACTCTTTTTGGACTCTCATCAGAAGCAAACTCTAAATTAACTTTACAGCATGACATGAGAAGATGTTACTTTCATAATGGTTTTCAAAGTTAAGATTCAACATCTGTCAAGTGGTTTATAAGATTAAAGTAATGGGATATTTGACTAAGAAATTACGTGTCATTATCCACTAGCAACGTATCTATAGCCCTTTCTTAAACAGATGTCTAATTTATCACAATTCTTAAGGTTTCTATTTCAAGAGCTTTTAGTGCCATTCCTTGGCACAACTGACCATGAAATGTGTACATAATAGTTTTGTTGCTGCTTATGGCATGTGGGAAGGGTAGATAACTGGGTGCATGAAAAACATATGCTTGACAAAAATAGTTAACATGATATATGAGGAAGAAACATAGATGTTTTTTTGATTATTATTGGACTTTTTTTCTCAAAAGATATTACTTTATGAAACTAGTAACTTGCAATTGTAGGAGGCATTATTTTGAATGATGTACATTGTAAATAATTTCAAATATTTTTTAAAGAGTTTTAATGTGTACATATTACTAGTTTTATCTTTTAAATGAAGTTGAAGTGTAGTTCAGAAGCTACAACCATGTACAAAATTATTACAATAATAACAGTAATACAGTTTATTGAAGATTATGCCACATTTGTTTTATTATATAGATAGACAAGTGTATATTCAGCACTAATTAAAAATAGATGGATAAACCTTGTGTAATAAAATATATTTATAAAGGAACAAAACTCAATAGCATTAATCTATAGACTGAAACAAAATTTTCAGTGGTAACTTGTGAATGACAGAACAGTGGCAGTCTGGCAAGTCAGTTTTGGTTATCCTAAGTGTGTAATTATAACCAGATACAGGTAACAAGCATACTGTGTGGGTGTTCATGTGTATTATTTTGGACAGCTCTGTGTGTATATTCAAACATAATGTACTACATACACACATCCAAAAGCATCCTTAAAGAAATAGTCAGAACTCAGCTCAAAAATTCATCAGAAAATAAACAGTGATAGGAAAAAAATATAGAAGATAGCAATATTATTGAGTTAGCATCTCATTTTAATTTTTCATAAGAGCCTTTTATGCTTATTAAATTTTCAGTTATCCACTGTTATTTAAATGTATTTTTTCTTTTTTCTCTGGTCAATATTGGATTTAACCACCTCAGCACAACTGATAAATTCAGTGTTAGCAGAAATTTCATTTTAAATATTGAGGTAGTTATTTTTTAAGCTATATGCAGTATCCAGAAATTTTAATGGACCTGATTAATTGTGAGTGAAACAGACAGACACACTGATACAGTCTCTAAAACTGTTTGTATATTTCTTTGTAACATTGTGATTATCTCTTTTTCTTATATTTATTTTTACCCTCTTCCTTGTGGAAGAGCTTGTCATTGCTTTCTAAAAATGACAGTGCTAGAAAAAAAAACTCTCGTGCATCAGAGGGGATTGATAGTTGAATCTCCAGAAGCTGATTCTTTTTTTTTTTGCACACTTTTCTGTACTACCTTAATGTATTCAGCCTTTATTTTTCTTTTTGTACATGGTTTTGTTTTAATTGCAGCATTAACATCAGAAAATGAAAGAAAGTGATATCATGGAAAAAGACTTAGATGAAAACAGTATTAAGGAAGATGGTGTCAGTACTACAAGCAGTGAAACCAAAGACCAGGGGAGTGATAAGAAAAGTAAAGATTTAGCAGAGAAGAAGAAGATCAAAAAAGAAACTAAAACACAAAAAGAAGCTAAAGCAGGACAGAAAATGAAGCAAGTTAAAAAAGGTTGTCTAAATGAAATGAATATCTCTTTTTGTTATATTAAAAAATATTTTGTATGTGTGTTAACATATACTGATTTGTTTATCTTTTTGACCAATACCGTTTAGGTCAAAATAAAAATACATAACAATATTTTGGGACAACATGGGACTTATTGGTCCATCTCGGTTGTTCCATCCTCAAAACTAAATTAAAATGATTAAAAAGAATAACAAAAAATTTGAACCCAGCCCTTTTAATTCATATACTTATCAAGTATTTTCTTAAACTCATTTAAATTTACTGCCTTTACAACATCTGAAGGCAACCTATTCCAAAGGCCAACCACCCTGTTAGAAAAATGAAACTGTCTCATTTGACAAGGTTCCACATAAAAGGCTTGTAAAAAAAAAATTAGCTCTATAAGTGTGCTGTTGCTAGTGGTAGGGCAAATAGGATTTTAGGTTGTATCTATAGAAATATTGAATACAAGTCTAAAGAGGTTATTCTTTCATTGTACAGGTTACTGGTTATGCCACATTAGGAATATTGTGTTCAGTCTTGGGTTCCTTACCTTAGGAAAAACATTAAATTATTGGAAAGGGTTCAGAGAATGGGTTATAAGAATGGTGCCTGAGATGGAGGTGTTGTCATACAAGGAGAGGCTGAAATCTCTGAAATTGTTTTCTTTTGAAAACAGAAGAGTTAGGGGGATCTGATTGAGGTGTTTAAGACTGTAAAGAGAATTGACAGTGTTGATGTATCATCTTTTTTTATATTTAACAATGAGAATAGTAGGACTAGGGGACACAAATATAAATTTTGGCAAGGTAGGAGTCATCTTCAGCTATTTCTGAAAATCCAGATACACCAAATCTACACCTTACCCTCATCTACATAAGCAGTAACCTTTTCAAAGAATGTTAAAAGATTTGTAAGGCAATATTTTTCCTAAGTGAAACATTGTTGACTATCCAATAAAATTCTAAACTTTGTTAAATGACTTTGCAAAGCATCTTTTATCAGACTTTCCAAAACTTTTCCCACAACTGATTTAAGACTAATGGGTCTATAATTACTGGGACAATTTTTATTCTCTGGTACCTGCCCACTATTCAAGAACTGACAAAAAATACTAGTAAGTGGCTCATATATCCAATCTTTAACCTCCTTCAAAACCCTTGGGGAAATGTTATCTGGCTCAGGAGCCTATCGTTTTCTAAACTTCCCAATTTTTTCTTAACCAGATCAGAATTAATGCAGTCATCTTGTTTGATCTTGTTTCCATTTATCAACTGATTAAGATGTGGAATACTGCTTAAATCTTTATTAGCAAAAACTGAAGAAAAAGCTAAATTTAATAA